GCAGACTTCGTAATGCATAATACATCAAAGGAAAACAAAATTGTTATTTTTATTTGATTCCGAGCATTTTCATATTTATTGACCTTTTAAACCTTCTGTGGACTTCCACAAATAATTCAAGACGAAAATTAGCCAAATCGGTTCAGCCGTTCTCGAGTTTTAGCGAGACTAACGAATAGCAATTCATTTTTATATAAATAGACTGAGAAGCGGGTGGACTTGGTGTCTACCTTGGTTATTGAAGACATGAGTGGATGAAGGGCATATGATAGATACAATTTGTTAATTTTGAGAAAACGGGTAAAAAACTTTGTTACTTATTTTTGAGATATTATGCGTTTTTTGGCTATTATTTTTATTATTTTATTGGAAAATGGAGAAAGAAAATCGAAAAAAAAACCAGAATAAGAGTATTGTTTTAAGAATCATTTAAAATTAAAGAATACGTTTAGTGCCCATATCACTTTCTTTCAACTATTAAAACGATAATATTTTTTCATCGTACGCAACTCCTTCATCACAAGCAATTTCTAAAAACAGCCTTTAAACCTGGAGTTTTAAGGTCTAATATGGTTTATAGGCACATAACACCTTTATTCAATGTCAAAAATCAAAAATCTTAAAAATTGTACTTAACCCCTTCATCCAGTAATGTCTTCAATTAATTCTTCTGTTGTGTGAATATCGATGCTCAGCTTGAAACACAGGAGAGTTAATTCTATTAGAATGGCAATACCGGAAAGCGTGGTTGCTTTGTATCCCAGATATCTAAAGCATATTTTGGTATTAAAGTGCTATCCGCCTGTGGAGGCTTAGTTCGAAAGATAACTACAATTTAATACAATAAAAAATTATTCTTACAAAAGCAGAGTCAGTCATTTATACTTCTATACTAATATTATAAAGAGGAAAGATTTGTTTGTTTGTTTGTTTCGAATAGGCTCCGAAACTACTGGACCAATTTGAAAAATTCTTTTTCCATTAGAAGCCGACATTGTCCCTGATGAACATAGGCTACTCTTTTTAATTTTTTTTTAATTTTTTTTTTTTGTTACATGTGTGTTTTAGTGTTTCCGAAGCGAAGCGAGGGCGGGTCGCTAGTAATGAATAAGAGTGTATTAATGAGTGTACAATTAGATGAGAGACGGCATTGTTAAAGCGAATTTTCCCGTGTATGCTTGTACAGTCAGCAAAACAAGCTTTAGTTAGAAACAAAGCACGAAATAGAGCTTTGAAGTAATATACATATTCTTAGTTATGCTGACGTAAACATTGTTTTCAAGTAAAGGTGAATTTAGAAAATACGGACTTAAATTGAGCAGTAAAGCCAATCTTGCAACGTAGCGACGCGACATCGTGTCAGAGTGTAATAACAGTTGACTACAATTTGACAAAATGAAGGCATATTTAGGTCAATTTATTTATTTATTATTACTAGGTATTTCATTTACTTCAGATATTAAATACATATTACATTAAACATAACAATTCGCATAGAATAAAAAAATTAAATAAAAACAACAACAATTTCGGAATAAACTTACTGTTTTAATTTTTTTAACTACCTTAATCTATAGGCTCCAATCTAATCAATCTTATAAGGCTAAAAGATTCAAAGTGCTCAACATGCACACTTGTCCAGTGTTGCATTATTGGGCAATCCAGATCCATCCGCGAGACGAACAGCCGCGAGTAGCAGCTGGGACTTTTTTTTATCACCTAAGACTGCTCCGCACGCGGCGAATGATTTGGTATTATTTATTTATTATTCAATATTTATTTACTATTTATTTATTTACACATTATGTATTTTGATACATTCGTGGAATACCCTAGGTATTATTTTCCAGTCAATCAAAGGTGTTTTTTTGCTTGGACGAGCACACAGCTAACCTGGTGCTAAGTGGTTATCAGAGCCCACAGACATCAGCAAAGTAAATGCCACCACCCACCTTGAGAGTTGAATTCCCAGTCTCAGTGTTATAGTACAATAGCTGCCCAACATTTCAAATCGAATAGCATTACTTGCTTCACGGCAGAAATAGGCAGAGTAGTGTACAAGACGCCCTAGCACCACTAATTACGCAAATTATAATATTTGCGAGCTTTATTTTTAATACACGATGTTATTCCTTCGCCGAGGAAGTCAGTTGCGAAGATTTTTTAAGTACGCATTTTATTAGAAAAATTGATACTTGCCAGCGGGATTCGAACATCGTTGCATCCATATATATGAATGCACCAGACGTCTTATCCTTTAGGGCATGACGACTTTATATAGTGATGCAGAGAAAGTCATGCAAGGTGTATCTATACTTAATATTATAAAGAGGAAAGATTTGTTTGTTTGTTTGTTTCGAATAGGCTCCGAAACTACTGGACCGATTTGAAAAATTCTTTTTCCATTAGAAGCCGACATTGACCCTGATGAACATAGGCTACTTTTTTTTAAAAAAAAAATTATTTTATTTTTTTGTTTCATGTGTGTTTTAATGTTTCCGAAGCGAAGCGAGGGCGGGTCGCTAGTTTGATTATATTATTATATAGCTAACATACTTTTTAAACACATTTTACCTTGGCGCTTACATTACAAATATCTCAATCTTTGAACACAGCAACGTACTCTTTTGACATTGAATAAGCACGATGTAAGTAAGTCCCGAGAGAAATTTGAATATTCGTCTCTTAACTTTTTCCAGTATCTTTATTCAAACGTTTACTCTACTGTTTACTTTCTGTATTGAAATGATAATAATAAAGAAATATTCAAATTTTTTATTTATTGCTCAGATGGGTGGACGAGCTCACAGCTCACCTGGTGTTAAGTGGTTACTGGAGCCCATAGAGATCTACAACGTAAATGCGCCACCCACCTTGAGATATAAGTTCTAAGGTCTCAGTATAATTAGTTACAACGGCTGACTGAGATTTCTAGATGATGAATATATAAGTATATATGTATTCAGATAGAGATATAGAGAGAGTCAGGCAGCGAATTTGTAGGCTTAGCCATAGGCAGCGGCTTGTTTGTGAATCAGGCTTTTCACCATCAATGACGGTAACCATCATCATCAGATGAGCCGTAGAGTCGTATGCTTAAAAGAGCATTAAATGTTTCAAAAAATCTCCGTTAGGCCGCTACCAGAGAGAGCCCGTCGCTTGCGACGAAGGGTTCGGCGAGCAAATTAATCCTCAGACACAGCCTACTGAGTTTCTCGCCGGATCTTCCGTATCCTCAGTGGGTAGCGTTTCCGATTCGGTGGTAGATTCTGCGAAGCACTGCTCTTAATAGGGCTAGTGTTACCAACGTTTCCAGGTTAGAGCCCCGTAAGCTCACCTACATGTTTGGTTTAGTGTGATCCCTCGAGGTCACTAGAATAGGTAGGGAAAAAAATGTTACTCAAGATATGGAGATATAATCCAAAGTTAAGACTTTAGGCAGGCGGCTGGTCGTCGAAGTCATACCATATTCCTATGCAGCATGATAAGAGGACATGCTGCGCTGACTCCAAATAATGTGGGATAAAGGGAAGAATAAGTATGTTATAAAATAATTAAAATTAAATAAGTACACGGGTGACATTAAAAAAAACATGTAACGTACGTACACTGTAACGGACGTGACGTCAGCTGCCATGCCCTGCCGCCAGCCATGCCACCAAGCCACGTTAACACGCCCCCTTCCGCCACTGCCACTAGCCAAAGCCAACGAAGGGGGGCCAGTGTTAATAAAACAAGCCTTGACAGTCATTTCGACCCGCCTTCTGCTTTCCCGCACAAATAAAAGAACTTGTCGTTACTACAATACAATAAACACTATTACCCCCTAAATATAGTTCAATGTCGCGCGTCACAGGCTAGGAACGACGTAAATTACAAAGAAAATTAAGATAACTAACTAAGTAAAGAAAGTGATTCGGTAGAGTTATAATTCATCATTTATATGATATCACTGAATAGCCTGATGAAATACTCTGAGGTTATTGACTTTTAACTTTGACCGAAACCTTTGCTTTCAGTAGCTCAAATTTCACAGTTGAAGTTAGAATTCGTTCTCTATTTATTTACCCGTTTTATTGGAAGTGCAAGCTTAAGCTAGTTTTGTGTCCCGCATTTACTTTAGAACTATCAGGCCTTTTTTTTTCGGGGTATGTGGGACTTGACGATCTGCAGGTGTTGGGAGCAGACCGTAGGCCCAAGAAATTTTACGGGCCTACCGCACCAAGCGACTGCACTCTTACATCCGACGTCCGATCTCCGACCGGGGCCAGAATCTGGTCAGAGTAGGGGGTTTCCCGCAGTCAATACTACAACCAGACACGCGGCGCCACCCCAAGGACGCCGGACCGACGGGTCGTCGAGGCTATAGCCGACGACCAACGACGCCGGTCTCTGCGGTACGGCAAGAGCTATCAAGCTGGGTTATCAATAAAGCGCTTTTCTATAAAATTAGTGCGTAGGCGACACGAACGCTCGCCTAGACGTTCAGTGTCAGAGTGAGAAAGAGCCTCCGATTGTACCATAGACTGTGAAGTCTATAGCACAGACTATACATGCAGTTTATGGTATACTGACTGCATTTATAAATACAGTAGAGACTGCAACGAGTAGGAAGTCTGCTAAATACTTATCATTTACTAGCTAACCCGGCAAACTTCGTAGTGCCTCAATCGATAAATAAAAGACCTAAACTTTTGTATAAAATAAACTTAAAACAAACAAAAGGAATCCGTCCGACGGGGGACGAAATTTGTTTTCAAAGGGAAAACAAAATTGTTATTTTTATTTCTTTTCGAGCATTTTCATATTTATCTACCTTTTAAACCTTCTCTGGACTTCCACAAATAATTCAAGACCAAAATTAGCCAAATCGGTCCAGCCGTTCTCAAGTTTGAGCGAGACTAAAGAACAGCAATTCATTTTTAATTTTATAGATTCATTCATTTATTGAATTTATACAACACAACTGGTATTTTGATGCTCTGTTGTTTATTTTCCAGACAAGGAAGAGTGCAATGCTATGGATTCCAGCCGCGGCAGTGAGGTGACGAAGACAAAGACGATGCAGCTCCGGTCACACACGGGGATCAGCTAATGTGAGCTGCGACTAGGACTAGGAGAGAGCTCGTACGAATGGAGATGAACGGGACGGAGCCTCGTGGCGAGGAAGCGGCCGTGACGCTGGCGCTAAACGTGGCCGTCACCGTCATCTCCGCCATCGGAATGCTCCTCAACGCCTATATACTGTTCGTAATCATTATCACTAAGCAGGTACGTGGCGATATCTGATATGGAGCCTGTGAAACGCCTTCTTTGCTGCCAATTTTCATAGTAATGAACTTGTATTAAATATTTTTCCTGATAAGAATATTCGAAATAAGTTTTACTGGTGTTTCTTTTTTACTGGTGGTAGGACCTCTTGTGAGTCCGCGCGGGTAGGTACCACCGCCCTGCCTATTTCTGCCATGAAGCAGTAATGCGTTTCGGTTTGTAGGGTGGGGCAGCCGTTGTAACTATACTTGAGACCTTAGAACTGATATCTCAAGGTGGGTGGCGCATTTAAGTTGTGGATGTCTATGGGCTCCAGTAACCACTTAAAACCAGGTGGGCTGTGAGCTCGTCCACCTATCTAAGCAATAAAAAAATAAAGAAGGTACGTGGCGATATCTAATATGGAACCTGTCAAAGGCCTCCTTTGCTGCCAATTAACATTTCGTACTAATTAATTTTTATTAAATAATGTTCCTAATCGGAATATTTCTAAATAAGTAGCTACATTTAGGTTTCCTATTTGTTATTCTATTATCTTTATTTAAGCTGTCGAAAATATAAGTATAAATGAAATAAATAAATAACAACATGACTATCTCACCCTTATAATCGGAACGTATGACTACTTTGCGGTAAAAATGGGCAGGAACCAATAAATAACCAAATTAACATTTGTGGCCGCACAACAAAACAAATAAATGTGTGTTATTCAATATTCAATTAACTTAAACTCGGCACCCCTAACGAAGTATTGTTCGAGCACATAAATTCATTCTAGTTGTTAATTATTTAGAAATCCATTACAATTGCCGTAAATGGTTGGTTCATGAATATAATATCATTGCCACATCGAGATGCGTGTTTCGAATACTGATTACAGTTTTGAATAAGAAATGTACTAAAATTAGTGTTGATTTGTTTGAACGCGAAACAGTTCCTGGTACCTACACGTGCGGGTTCACAAGATATCGTACCAACAATGACTGCGCAAGTTCTTATTTTCTTAGAAAAATTGGTGCCTGCTTGCGGGATTCGAACACCCGCCCAGTCGCATCGCTAGATACGAGTACTCCTGGTGTCTTAACATTTAGGCCATGACCACTTCACCTTTGAGCCTATATATAATAGCCTAATATATTGTTATTATCGATTTATTTGAGAGGTTTAAAAAAAAAACTTTCTCTAATATAAGTCTTGCCCTGAAAGATAAATAAAAAAACTTACATAAAGTAAATCAATGAAATCTGTCCAGTCGTTATTGAGTGATGCTCCATCACACATGTGGTCATTGATTTTTCTTTAAACACACCTTCTATAAATTTAAGATTCTGACCATATTTCAAGCAGACATCAACTTTATAACTAATGCTGACAATGCAGCGATAAATAAACTATCGGCGCTCACATGGACAAGTAAGTTCCAAAACTGCATCTGCAACTAAGTTGTACCAACTGCAACTAAGTTGCATCGTAATAACAATTTTTCTCGTCTCCAAACTGAATCGCATGGTTGATTTGCGGCTCTCAGAGCGGAACTTAATGCGGAACATAAGTGTAAGAGCTGAGATTAAGACCCACCAAAATAAATCACCGAGTCATACCATCGTAGCCACCGTGCTACGAGAAGCTACAACGTAGCATAAACATTGTGAACAAAGACTTAAATTAATTTAAGTATATAGCCTCTCAAGACTATCAGTATAGGTAGAAAAAAAATTAAGTATGATTTGAGAAAGTGGTACAGAAGGGTGGTCACAGCCCTTATCATTGAGGAATACGATGCAAGAAGAACGAAGTATTTTTGGAAAAAATATTAAAACATATACTCAAAAATACGATTAAATTACTGACGTAGAAATAAAACATAGCAATCAGCTTCACTAATGGTGCATTTTTTAAATATTTTTTTTATTGATTAGATTAGTGGACGAGCTCACAGCCCACCTGGTGGTGTGAAGTGGTTACTGGAGCCCATAGACATCTACAAGGTAAATGCGCCACCCACCTCGAGGTAAAAGTTCTAAGGTCTCAAGTATAGTTACAACGGCTGCTCCACCCTTCAAACCGAAACGCAGTACTTTTTCACGGCAGAAATAGGCAGGGTGGTGTTACCTACCCGCGCGGACTTACAAGAGGTCCTACCACCAGTAAAAAAATGTAATGCAATGCAATCTGTTATACCTTGTGCCGATACCGTACGATTATTATGGCACGGTATTAATGCCAACCATAAAATACCGAGCTGTTTACCTTTTGACCGCTGGAACGTAATTGTACCTTCAAAGCCGCGCTATAAAGCAGAAAAATTGAGGTCATTAAATATTCTAAAGGATCTCTGGGCTCATAGTAGCCATAAAACAAACGGCAACATCGCTTAGACGGGCACAAGTTTGAAATACTTGGCATATTATGACAAAACACGTCCTTGTTTAACTTAGGGCTGTCCAATTTCCGTTGCTTAAGGGTTTTGCAAATTTTAACCATTATTATTGTTAGATATCCACTTCCTGGCCCACTTCATGCTATAAAACGTAAATGACATCACATTGATTTGTGAAAATCGAAGCGTCAATAGATTTAGAACTGTGGCTTCTCTGGTCGTCTAATCCAAACGAATGATATCTTTGAATTATACAAATGAACGTATTCTCAGTTGATTAACTTTGATAAACTTTTAATCGACGTCACCCACTAATGAAGAATAATGTAATCTAATAGAATCGAAACCTTATCGTTAAAAAAATTGTTAAGATTCGCGACTGAATCCCACCAATTTTTCTACATACATATTATTATTATGTAGGGAGTTTCAAAAAAAAAAAATTTTTTTTCGTATCCAACCTCAAAAGTTTCATTTAGATGCCAAAATAGGCCTCTAAAAATAGGAGCTCTTAATATTAATATTAAGAATGTCCGCATCGCACTTTTCGATTTCCCATAAGAATAACACAGGAAAAAAGTTTTTTTTTTGTTCTGATGTTTGTAACTAATGAACCACAAATTGCTCTGCAATTTCTATCAACTACTTTTGTAAAGAATTGAACGCTCTACAAAAAAGTTCTGATTTCATTTTTCGATTAATCAACTCATTCAAAAGTTATTCAAGGTCAAAGTTAAATTCATTATCAATTCATCCGTTTTCTTCATAATCCTCCGAAATTTATATAATATGTAAATATGTACTTAAGAATACGTACTTAAGAAATGTTTACGAATGATTTCCACGGTGAAGAAGTAATATCGTGTAATAAAAATCAAACTTACAAAGATTATAAGCGACGTAATTACTGATAATAGGGTGTCTTGTGAGACCGCGTGGGTAGGGTTACCACCCTGCCAATTTCAGCCGTAAAGCAGTAATGGGTTTCGGTTTGAAGGGCGGGGCAGCCATTTTACCGGGTGAGCCGTGAACTTGTCCGCTCATCTAAGAAATAAAAAAGGTTCATTATGCAAGTTTGTTTGAAACTTTGATCAAATAATATTGTTCCGAATTTTTATCTGAATATTTTCTTTTTTATTAAATTTTCAAATAAGTAAACTTAGCTCTGAGCCTAAAGTGCTAAGTGATACTTGTCGAACAAAGCCAGCGAGTTGATTATATTGGTGGCGCGACAAGCACGAAAATCGATTTTAATCGTTAATTGTTTTAACGATATTTGATTTTCAAAAAGCCTTATATTGAGTACCTACTTCAGTTTGACTAAAAATTATGTTGTAACCACAATAATTTTTTTTTTTTTTTTTGTAAGCCTTTATTGCTGATACTAAACAACGATATTTACACATAGTAGCAAATTGTTTTAACTTAAATCGAATCTAATACATCGGGTTTCCCGGTTCAGTGATCAGCGTGTCCTGTGACACATAGGCCTCTTCCAGCTGCTTCCATTCTTCTCTATTGCTAGCTTTTCTGGACCAAATTGTCCCTCCAATCATCTTTATATTATCTGTCCATGTTCTAGCTTGCCTACCTCTTTTTCTTTTGCCATCACGTGGCTGCCATTCTGTTATAATTTTAGTCCATTTCATTCTGCTTTCCCTTGTCATATGTCCTGTCCATCGCCATTGTTACACACAACACCACACACGCCACAACTACAATACTTTAATGATAAGAAAATGCCGAAAACCTCAAAAACAAATCGAAACTGCTAAGTTTTTCCCTGAAACGTAATTCAATTCTATTGAAAGTTTTGTGACGGCGGCAAACGGGGCATTAATAAATTAAATAAAGAAATGGATCATTGACCTTTGGTTACGGTAAGAAAAAACGCGTGATATTAGTTTTGCTTGTCAACAAAAAAATGAAGGGAAAAGCCGATGTTTGCGGAAACGAATTATTTTTTGACAGTTCTCGGAGCTCTGAACCGCTGTACTCAACATACACCAAATCACGTCTTCTGTGATAAAGGAATAATTACGTGGAGATAAAATTAAAACCGCGAAACATTTGTAGCAGGACTTATTTTTACTGCGTAGCACTAGCAGTTTTTTCCGCCTATAACATATGTAACAAAAGAGAATGTGATATAAATCTAAATCTTGTAGTGTCAATGATTTAGGTCGAATTTCCATTCGTTCGTCAGAAAAATTTGTAAAGACAAACGAACATAAAATATTTTTTCTACACGCTAGTTATGTCTTTTTGACTTTGGAAATTGTCTTTGCGATCTTAAACGTTGCAAACGCGTAGGCATTGTTACTAGCCGAATTAGGTATATTGTTGATTACGACCTTCGTGCGACACATATGATAAACATCACGCTTTTGATAACCTAATTGCAGAACTGAGTATTCCATTTCGGCTTCATCCTGGAACTTGTTTAATTACATCTCCGAGTTAATTAAACGAGACACACAAACGTCTTGTACAGCGCCTGACTAAATATAATACGGAACTCATGTAATATGGACTTAATTTTGTTTTCCAAAGCTCCTTGAGAATTTATATGCGTCATAAATGCTCATTTGAATTAAGTGTATGAATTTGAAAAGTATAT